ATATACGAATCGGGAGAGAAAAGTGTAGAGAAATTAACAAAATTTCCTCATAGTTTTGATATTGTCACCAACACATATGTAAATTTCACCACCCTGGGAGTGTATGATGAAATAACGACGATTATACCGTAGTGGAAATGATGAAGTTTACGGAGTAGACTAGCACGCATGCGCAAGGAGTGTTGTGGCACGCATGCGCAAGGAGTGTTGTGGCACGCAAGCACAAGAAAATTCACCAATGTTGCTGCTAAAACTGATATCTGTTAAACTTTTCGAGAATTGTCCAAACAGCATTGGGGAAATATGGAAATGGTCAACTACATGTGTTGGCGACAGTAGTGAAAAATTCTGAGGAAATTTCGGGAAATTTTCGTTCGTTTCTGTGATTGGTGAAAAAACTTTCATAATTATGAATGGAATTCTCAAACTGTGACACAATCACTTGGTCATGAAGAGTGTCATTGATGTCTGCTGAGATGCTCCATACAGAGGACTCGTCAAGGAAGTCGTCACCTTAAATTTTCTTTTTTTTAACCCACCCACTGCCGCCCGTCGGCAGATATCATTGAACTACTCGGTTAGATCTCTCTTACTTCCATATCTCTTTCGTTGCTATTCTTGAGATCTATAGGTTACACATCGTAGCTCAATGATTCGCTTTTGCAACCAAGGGTGGGGAAGTCTAAGTGGTGGATTGGAGAGTCGCAGCTAACTTGAACAAGGGGCAACCGTTGCGGTTGACAACGACACCATGCAGGGATGTTGCACACATACTAGTAGAGCCATGGCTATACAATTTCCAATATACATGAATACGTACAGCTGTGAATAGACCCGAGCGATACTGGCGCTGAGTTTTGCTCACTAACACACAACAACAAAGAGCAAGCACAGAAACAAAATGATGGTCATCATACGATCTCATCAGTGATGCATGCTATTTTTCTCCATATACGTCTCAGCTCGTCTTTGCATTCACTAGGCAGTATTAGACCGTCATGCCCCATGGGTGGCTGATAGAAATTATGGCCCAACCATTCACGTACGAGAGCTGTGGCGAAGCACCCTGGTGGAAGGGAAAAGCTGACCTCGAGAGCGTCTTTCTGCGGCCTCGTCCATTTCAAGCCAGTGGGTCGAACAAGAACCTCCCTGGCCTCCTTTGCTGAGCTCCCTCTGCCGTTAAAAGAGGAAATGCCGAATTCCCTCATGAGTTTATCAAGAAACTCACCGGTCTTATTGTGAGGTTTCAAGCAACTGTTCACCGGTAGTGGGAGACACACGTGGCAAGCGACTGAGCTCTGCTTCTGACCGTCCCAGATGTAGGGGGGAAAGTGATGAACAGATCCGCCAGGACCGTTGATAACCATATCTCCCTCGATAGGGTTGGTGCCGAACTCATTCACTCTGAACTGGACCATGTAGTTCCACAGAAGGCTGTGCCAAGCGTGAACATAAGTTGACCATTGCCGAGAACTGATCGCCCTTTGCCAATCGACGTCCTCTTGCTTTGCAGCTCTCGCGAGAAGGAGTCGCATTTCATGACCTTCATAACCACTACTCAGAGATTCATAAACACTACGAATGGCACCGTTGGTGAGCTTAAGTGCAGTCCATTCGCGACCTTTAGGGCAGAGGCCGATGAGCATCGCAACAACAGCTTCGAGATGCTCCCCGTTTTCCAAGTAGCGACCGACTACAGGAGAGTTAAAACGAGGAGCACCAAAGCGTTGCAAACCAAAAAAGTTCACGAAACCAGAGTCTCTAATCTTGGTGAGAACCTCATCGTGTTTAGAGTTGCCGATAATCCTCGGCTGACCTACAAATGTCAACTTAAAGTAATTGCCTTCTAGCGCTCCCCATGTGAGAGGCGCTCGTACTCCCACTGGATCTCCTAGTTCAAACGGAAGAGCTTCACCTCGTCTCGATGAGAAAAACAAATTCTGAAAGTGAACTTGTGGTAGCGTTATATACTGCATAGTGTCAGCGCCTTTGTCCTTGCGACCAGCATAGGTGATCACTGTCGGATCGCATTTGGCGACTTCTGACATGATTCTAATACAAGTATCCGTTTCAATCTTCGTCTTGTGTAAAGTTAATCGCACATAGGGCGCCGAGTTAACTTCATGTCCCAAACTATGTGGTAAAATATACTCGCAAAGATTTTTTTCCAGCCCGATCGGTGTGCCGTTGCTTTCCAGTGGTATTTCTCGGACAACGAAGTGCTCTGGAGCCAGCGTGAAGTCAACCTTTTCGTGTTGCATATCGTAACCATGACGTGACCAGATGAGGTTACCCTCGAAGGGCCGCTCATGGTCGGACAATACGGTGTCAGTGCACATCCCCAGTAGTTTGTGTAGTTCACGAGAGCCCGCAAGCTTACTCGAAGTGGCCGACGCCAGGCGAACAAAATACTTAGTGTTAAGCATGAACAACGAAGCTAGAAGTTCATTTCAACCAAAGGAGCCGACTGATGCAAAATAACGAGGAAGGGCAATCGTGATAAACAGCGATCAAATAATCGATTAATAATCTACCACTCCCCCTTCAACACAGTCCAAATCAGAAGGTTAGCACTTGGAGACTATCAACGCAAGAGCCATGAGAGTCGACGCGCCAGGGCTCTTCGAACCACTGACGGCTTAAATGTATTCCGTACATGTATGGACGCTGAGATGAACGATACACTAATTGTGAGATCAGTCGCCGAATAATGCAGTACTTGGGTTGAGATGTGCGAAAGGAGTGGTATGGGCAATAATCATCAATATATGCAACTCAATGCTACATATCAACGAAAACAGCGAATTCTGCTAACTCGATGCGACCGTAAGTAGAGAGTCAGTGGCCTCGAGACGAAAGGCACATAGACACGTTCGCTTAGTGAAATCGGTGACGAAGATATCAGTCTGGCGTCCTTTAGAAAACGCCAACTTTGAGAATAGGTACTTAACGATACGCATACTGAATATATCAATACATAAATCAACGACCTTCGCTCCGCTAACGGGATGAGTGTACCTACGATATTCTTTGTGGTACTCAGGTGTCAAGACTAGTCCTACTTTCGCATCGAGCAAGCCTCCTTACCAAACGCCTTAGCGACTGGATCAGCATCCTTAGGGCCCTTCACAGGCAAGTGTCTCAAAGCTGAACCCGCTGGTTGAAGGACGAATGCCAGATCAGTCTCTAGCAGTCGCATTAGGTCAGAATCGTTGGTGTCGTCGTCGCCAAGGAGAGTGTCCAACGACGATAAGTCGGCGAATTTGTGCAGTGTGCTTATCTGAGCGCTCAAGCGTCCACGATGGACCGTATCGAGTTTGAGAGCACTTACTTCGACATCGCCGCAGGAAAGCGAAAAGACCAGATAAGCTGAAATAGGAGAAGTCATTGAGACTATCTCAGGGAAGCGTTGGGTCAACATTCCCCCCTTAGAGACGGCGAGTGGCTGCG